TATGGCGTGTGGGGGGATGTTTTTCACAAAAGTTTTTTATACAAATTTTTTTTTCTTTTTCTTTTCTTTTTTATACATTTAATTTTTTCATTTTATTTCTGATTCATAGACCTTAAAAGGCAGTTGGAACATTCGGGGCCTCGCCCTGATACGAGCAGTCTTGTTTCTAATTTAAGAAAGAAATGGACCATTTCTGTACCGAACATACAAGAAATTTAGCTAAATAATCTATATAACATTTCTATCTAGAAAAACAACCAACGCTGGGTACGGGCAATAGTTTTCTACAATCTTAAAGTTTAGAAAATTAAATGCTCGAATAGAAAAATCTAAAGTTGAACAAGACTGCTCGTATATCAGGGCAAAGTTCTGAATGTTCCGACTGTCCTTTAATTCATGTTGAATAGTTGAAAAGTTTTTGGGAAAAAAGAATGTTAAAAAACCTGTTAACTTCGGACAAAATCAGACGAAGGGTGGGTATTTACAAGTACCATAATTCAAAATCACTGCTGCCTTCTATAAATTTTTTTTGCTAATTATTCTCAAAAACAGCGAGAATGCACAAAAAGCGGGTGCCAATAACCTCATTATTTTCTTTTGTAGTTTGTTTGCCTCAGAAGGATAAAATTAGACGCCTAACTAAGTCTTTTGAAAGCTTCTGGAAGTGCCAGGTATCAAAAGTGTCAAAGTTGTGGTGGTTTGTTTTATTTGAGTTGTCCTTCATTGACTACCTTTTAGGATTATTTTGACTGCGATCGAAGACAAATAAAACTAGAACCACGCGCTAGCATTTTACAAATGAAAGTAGAATTAAAGCGATGATAAATATTTTACAAGACTGATTGTATTAATGCGAAGCTCTGATTGTTCGACTGCCCTTCAATTTGTCTCGATTAGTTTTTGGTAAATTAATTTTTGGTAAAACTTTGAATTTTAATTTTATAATAAATGTTGCAATTTGAGTCGTGTATGGAATTTATAAAGCCAATTAGCTGCCTCAATTCAATTTGGAACATTTTTGTAGTGCGGGAATATTAAAACAAGCAGTTTTAGACATACTCTCGTTAGATTACTATAGTGGTATGCACACTAGTCTGGCCCCATGCAGATCATGAGATCGATGCCCCGAGGGACTATAGGAGTTTTGCAAAAAATGGTCAAAATACAAAAAACCACCCGGAGCATATTTAATCCTCACTTTCTTCAAAAGTTGGAACAACAAGACTGGAAATAAACAAAAAGTAATAACTTTTTCCTGTTTTTTATCTCCTCTCAAGCTAATGCAAGCAAATAAGGATGCACGTGGTGTCTTGTATCCTGATAATAAGACGATAGGATTTGCCTCAATTCAATTTCGAACGCGTTAATCCGCCGCTTACTCGTGTTACAAGAATGCAAAATTTTGCGCGCTTTTTACAAGCCATTTTTAAAGCCATTTTTAAACCTTATAAAAATGAAACCTGCTTTTCAAACCTCATAATTTTACGAAAAATCATCACAAGTAAAATATCTTTTTGAATTTGAGCTCAAGACAACAAAAATTTCGAGATGGTTTATAAAAAAACTCAGTTTTTGAAAAACTGCTTTGTTTAAAAGTCAAAAATTGACTGAGGAATAACATCATTCAAAGCGTAATTAATTCAATATCATCTTCAAAAATTGGAATAAAAAAAACGCCAGTATAACGCCTCGCAACATTCCACCATTTGTACCTCTCTAATCAATTTCGGAACAAAAAAACGGAGTTATTTTTATTCAGTCATAAATTTTTTTGGGAACACATTTTCTAGAGTCAGCTGTCTTTCATGCGCATTGTAAGTATTTAGAAAAACTTTATAAAAAAAAGAAAATGCCTATTGTCGTATTAGTTTCTGAAAATTTGAAAAATCTATTCTGATCAAATTTTTTTTTCGGAACAATACTAAAGAGAAAATGATTGTACTAAAAGGGGCTCAAACGTTTTCTGGTGGTACGAAAATTCTTTCTTTTTAGTTTGGTTTTCGTAGAAAAACCTTCATCACAAGATAAAGAACATATAAACCACCAAAAAAAAGTAATCAATCACAAAATTTTCGTACAGTTTTGTTAGGTCTGTCAATATCTGTTGACTCTAGTGTTATAAAATATTAGTTAATAAAATACGCTGTGTGGGTTTTTCAACAGAACCAAATGTAATGATACAAATTTTCTCAAATGAAACAATTCAACGGTAAATGTTTATGAAGTTTTTTTCGGTTGGGTTAAAACTAAAATAATTGTTTCACAAGGTACGGTAGCAGGTTCAGTGTTGTTCCTTATTAATAGAACAATTAACCAAAAACAAGTCGAATATGAATGTATTCTAGTACATATTAGACTTTTGCATGGTTTTGGTTTCATCTCTATCTTCAAAAGACCTTTTGAAATAATTGCACAACTGTTTACGCTCACTTCCTTTTTGTCTCAGGAACCAGTAAAACATTATATAGTCCGAGTGCATTGATATCGAAATGTATAACTTTCATTCAAAAAAATATATACAGAAGGTGGATACAGACCAGTCTCTCTTTCAGGATCAGTTGGTAGACAATAAGAGTGAATGCAAGAAATTAGTCTCATTCAGAGAATCATATCTGTATTTTGATCTTCAGGTGAAAAAATATTGCAGAAAATGGCCAACAGGGAACTAAAACAACACATACATTTTGAAATCAACTGACAAAATTATCGTAGCTGATGTGCCTTGTTTCACTAAAAATTTTAACGCGCTGTTTAGAAATGCTTATAACTGAGCAGTAAAACGAAAGTTTTTTTTTATTCAGACAACAATCTTCCGCTGTACTGCGAACAAACAAATCAATTAATCGATTTTAAAACAGGCCTGAACTTGAAAATCCTTAATTAGACTTTTTAACATCCGTTCAAAAAGTTTTCGCAATTGCTTTTAGGTTCGCAACAACTATTTATAGAATAAATGATTGTACAAAACAAATGGTATTTAAAAACCAATGTTTACTGCTTCTCTGCATGAATTGTTTTTCTCCATGTCTATTCAGGTGGAACTCCCGGCTAACAGACCAGTATACTTTCTTAACTCCTTGCCGGTATACTCATTAATTTTCCTAACAGCTAATTGATGTTTAAATGAAAAACACGATACTACTCGATTTCTAAATCTGAACTTTCTCAAATTGCAAAACGATTTCGTTAACCTCTCCACCCCCTACATTAGCCTCTTTGCCCATCACAACCCATCCTCCCCCACCCCAACGTTTGTCCCTTTGCCCCAACCCACCTCACATTCAACCAATTGAACCACCTGAACACTATACACCTTGAAAAAAAACAGGCCAAAGAAGCGTTTTTAGGCACTTTTTGACAGGTTTCGAGTAAAAAATTGTGCTACCCTGAAAAAATCGGTTTTGACCGATACAAGTGGTTTTTTTGGTCCGCGCTCCCCCGTCAAAACTTATATATACATAATGGCGCCTGAGGCGTCTTCGAAAAAATTTTAGGTTCAATTAGCCAGGGATGGGTGTCTTAAAATAGTACCAAAGGAAGGCCCTTTTGGGTCGTCAAAGGTTCGAATCCCTGAAAGGGGGAAGAGGGCGTCTGTACCCACCCCCGCTAAATCCGCTGCTGGCTACAGTACTAAAACCTTTTCAGATTTAGGTAATTTGTTAAAATAATTATGTAAAAATTTTCGAGTTCGTTCTCATATGCCAAAATCCTTAGCTGAATATGTCAACAGTTTAGCCAAGAATCTCACACAGTTACAGAGAAAACAATAAAAAAGGGGAACAAACGGTCGTTTAACTACTCGGGTTGCCCATCATAGAAGATAGTGCGCAATCATACACATCAACTCCATGCAACAAGGCAACGGGATACCAAGATGCAATGTCATTTCCCATTTGTTTCGAAAACCCTCAGAATAGCTTTTTGGCGGATTAAATTAGTAATAAAACGACTGCAATCTTATGCAAGCTGTTGGTAAGATATGAAAAATTTTGTTTCGAAAACCCTCAGAATAGCTTTTTGGCGGATTAAATTAGTAATAAAACGACTGCAATCTTATGCAAGCTGTTGGTAAGATATGAAAAATTTTCACCATGCAAATCATACGTCGCAACAATGTGGTGCTGTGTATGAAAGAAATTTTTCATAGAGAAATTTTTTTTCTATGCAAATTAGACTTTTACTTTCACGCGACGTTGAGACATCCCATTTTGTCTGAAACACAGGCTTTCCATGCAAAAACTCCTGACTGCCTTATTGTTCCGACTTACGAAAGTAACGGAATATTTGTGCTCGGGGTGGGTTTTTTTCTTCAGACAAATTTCGACTTTTTAACTAGCCATTTTTGACAGAACTTCTTTTTATCATTCGAAAAGTATTGTTGCCCTGAGCTCAAATTTGAAAAGATATTTCATCTGTGATAATTTTTCGTAAATTTACGGGGGTTTAAAGATTGCCATTTTGGCCAATTTGGGACAATTAGCTCGCGATATATTTCGCGCTATTAACGCGTAAGCGGAGAGTTAATCCGTCTTAGAAATCGTTCCAAATTGGTTAAAAGAAGCTTATTTGCCATAATTGGTTTGTTACAAGGAGCAAAATCTATCCTTTTGTACTTTATATGGCGTGTGGGGGGATGATTTTCATAAAAAATTTCACATTTCAGAAAAAAATAATAATTTTTTTTTATTTCCTTGAATTTTTTAATGTTACTACTGCTCCATAAATCTTAAAAGGCAGTCGGAACCTTCAGGGCTTCGCCCTGATAAGAGCAGTCTTGTTTGTTCTTTACTTAAACAACTTTTCGTCAATGTGAATCTTTCGTAACTCTCGATATCAACTTGATATCATTTGTCTATTTCAGCGGTGACCTTCAATTCCTGCTGACTAATGTGACAGTGTACATTGTGGATTTTCTGGTGCCTGCAGTTCTAGTCACCAAATACTACTGGGAGTTCTCAGTCGAGGTCAGACGAAGGTCAGGGGGCGTGACCTCTGCAACCAACGCTCCTGCAGCATCTAACACACCCCAAAACAACAATAACAACAATAACAATAACAACAGCAACTCCATGCAACATGGCAACGGGATACCAAGATGCAATGCCATTTCCCAAGTACCCCCATTGCGCGCATCCCAGGAGAACAGAACTCACTCCAATCACCCGCGGGGGACTTGCTTAAATGGTAAATTAAGCCCAACAAAACGGGAATTCATAGTATAATTTAGATAGTATATTGTAGGGAGTTAATTGAATACACATATATATCTGCCCCACAGGTAGCAGTACTAGTTGGATCTAAAAATCTCTTTCTCTTTCTCTGCATTTCAATTTTAACACAATGTTAAGTTAATTGATTACATGGCTAAACTGTGTATTATTCAAACACTGAATGTACATTAGGCCTTGCCATAAAAAGACAAGCGGCTTTCAAAGCAATATTCAGTGAACAGTTCAAATGGCATCTTCTGGTGATATTATATATGGTACCTCATGCTCTAATAGCAATGTATTTTTTATTCAAGATTTCAAGGTGAAAAAATATTGTGTGGTTTGGTTGGATCATACAAAAGAACGCGATCCACGAATTTCGATCACTAGTTTTTATGTCGAAGTTGAAGCTCGAAGTTTTAGGAGCTCGAAGTTAATATAATTGTTCCGAATTTCGAAACGAAAGGAACGAGATATTTGTGCTCGGGTGGATTTTTTTTTCTTCAGACGTATTTCGACTTTTATCTAGCCATTTTTGACGGAGTTTTTTTATATCACTTTAAAGGTATTGTTGCCTTGAGCTTAAATTTGGAAAGATATTTCACCTATGATCATATTTTGTAAAGTTATGGGGGTTTAGAAGTTTGCCCTTTTGGCCAATTTGGGACAATTAACGCGCGATATATTTCGCGCTATTAACGTGTAAGCGGAGATTTAATCCGTCTTAGAAATTGTTCCAAATTGGTTGAAAGAAGCTTATTTGCCATAAATGATTTCTTAAAAGCAGCGGAATCTACTTTATATGACATGTGGGGGATGATTTTCATAAAAAAGAAAAAATTTCAAAATTTAGAAGAAAAAAAATTTATTTTATTTTTTTTTACATTTTACATTTACTCTTTACATTTAATTTTATATCTTTTCATTTTATTAGATATCTTTTTATTTTTTTTTTCATTACATTTTAAACTTTTTGAGGTTATTACTGCTCCATAAACCTAAAAAAGCAGTCGAAATATTCAGGGCTACGCCCTGATACGAGCAGTCTTGTTATAAATTACGTGATAATTTTTGGCGCCAGAAAGTTTTGAGCAGATTGCCATAAAAAATTGCCAAACTGCCAATTCTGACTAATGAATGCGCACTTCATTTCCATTTTTCATACATAAACTTCAAATTGATTTAGAACCAGCAATTTATGGCTGGGGGTCAGCCAAATTTTTGGAAATCTTTGCAAACTAGCTGCTTTTGCATCTTGCAGTTTCCGCATCCGACAAAAGTGACGGTATAGTTGTGCTCAGGGTGTTTTTTCCGCCTGGCAAACGTCGAACATAGTATTTTTTTTTGACGTAGTAACTCTTGACGGTATTTTATGATATAGACCGAGAGCTATTCATACCCCAAACTCCAAATTAAAAATTCGATTAACCGGCAACAATTTTTAATACAACAAGGTGGGTTTGAAAGGAGCCAATTTGGGATAATAAGCGTGCAATAAATTTCATCCTTATGACTAATACGAGGGGATTTGAATTGTTCCAAAATGAATTCAGGCAAAAAATTTCCTCAAACTTATACGTTATACTCTATCTAACTCCTACGTTTGAGTATCATTTTGTACTTCATATACTTCATATAGCGTTTAAAATGATCGAAAGAAGAAAAAAAAGCCAAAAAATAACAACTTTCTCTACATTTGTTCAATTATTTGATCAAATGTTCAGCCAGAATATTTTTATCGATTTTAAACGGCAATCAAACCCTTTAAAGCTTTGTTTTTGTTCTACAAAATTTGAAAATTTGAATTTTTCGAAGAAAGTGACGGAATATTGGTGCTCGGTCGGTTTTTTTGCAATGTTTAATTTCAACTTCTGAATAGGCAACTTCTGTTAATTGTTTTACTTACTGAAAAATCATGACATCCTGCTCTGAAAATTAAAAAGATTATTAACCTGGGATCATTTTGATATTGTTTTATAGGTGTAACTTCGAAACTATTTGACGCCTATATTTAAGTTTGAGATGCTGATTGACAATGAGCATTATAATTAGTCCTATGAAAGAGTAAGCGGCAATTACAAAAATTTTAGTTTAAATTGAGGCGGGAAAATTCGTTATGTTTATACGTGACCATGCGCTAAGTATCTCATTTTGCGTCTGCATGCAAGGAATAAAACTAGGAAAACAAAATCTGACAAAACTGCTCGTATCAAGGCGAAACACTGAATGTTCCGACTGCCTTGTATGTTCTTTGAATCAGTGCTCGCTTTGTAACAATTAATGTTTTTTTTTTTCAAAAAAAAAATGAAAAACTTTTTCTTTACATAATTTGAAATATTTTTGAAGATCAAACCGTTCGAAAGACAAAGTGATAGGTTTTGCATAGTAACATAGCACATTTGGCAAAAACCCTGCTTCGACAAACGATTTCTAAGACGAATTAAATCTCCGCTTACGCGTTATTATATCGCGCGTTAATGGACCCAAATTGGGCAAAATTACAATATTTAAACCCACATAACTTTACAAAAAAAAGCAATCACAGCTGAGACATCATTGTAAGTTAGAACTCAGGACAACGACACCTTTCAGATAATTTTACCAAACTTTTTCAATTATGGCTAGTTAAAAAGTCGAAATTAGTTCGAAAAAAAAACCACTGGCATCCTGAGAACAAATATTCTGTCATTCTCTTCGAAAGTCGGAACAAAAACTTACCCGAGCAGCAAAAAAAACTCAGCTACTTTCTTCAAGCGGCGGAACAACAAAAGCTCAAAAATTTTTCTTGCATGTATTCTTTTTGTTCTGTTCACATGCACGATCAAAATTTTCAACATTGTAACAAAAATTTTCTTGCAGTATAAACATGTAGTAATAAATTGATTCATTATTTTTGAATTCTGAAAAAATAGGTTGCATATGGCAAGAGGTGGCTTGTGTTCTAATCGAAAACAGTTGACGAAATTATAGTTTTTGATGCGATGTTTTTTTTCTCACCTCGTTGATTATTGAGCTAGATTTTTTTTCAAAAAAAAACGTTGTTGTACCTAAAATCAATTTTTTTGTAAACTTATGCAGTTTGAATTCCAGTTCGGCCAATTCCAATTGAAGCTTGTCTTTCAACCCTTGAAACTGAGTTCTATGTAATGTTCCGACCACCGTATTTTTTATTAACGAAATTGATTATTTTCTTTTTTGTGTTCTGATTTTCTGTCGTTTTCTCAGGTATATGATTTGATAGAACTAGTTAAATGTTTTGAGCAATTGTGCTTTAACATCTGGAGAAATGAACAGAAATAAAAGAGGGAAGCGTATATCGTAAATAAGTTTGCCGTGTAAAAAAGTCAAAAAAGTTTTTTGTAAAGAAGTCGACAGATATCACAAAAAAGTTGCAAAAAAGTTGACAGATATAGTTTTGAAAAATTTTCATTTTGAATTTTGAATCACGATCGAAAGGATCTCAAAAATTTACTTTGCTCGATATTTTACGAACCATTTTTGAGTTGCTTAGTGGGACCAAGTTAACAGCCTCCATCCCCCAAACACGTTTAGGGGGGAGGATGTTAACTTGGTTCTAAGTTCGAATTTTCCGCCAATCAGAACCAGGCATTTTACATGCAGCGCTTAGCAAAATTAATTAAATTGAACGCTGGGTTGGAAGATCTTAACTTGGTCTACTTTGGGGGAGGGAGGAGATGGAGGATGTCAATTTGATCCGCTTAAAGAATTTAGTGCGAAAAATAACCCAACTTTTATTGTCCCCCGCAGTTGTTTTCAACCACAGTAATCAGCATTGTAACCAATGAAGAGAACTAGTTCCAATCTAGTCTATCATAGTGATTGACGACACAGGATGACTATTGAATGAAGGCTGTGTTTAACGATTTGGACAACTGACAAAGAATTGAAATAAAATCAGAGACTAATTAATTATGATTTATTGTGAAACCAGGTCACTAACAGCAGATTTATTTATATCCATTAGGTTATTTTTACAAAAAGAATGAGAAAATTTTCCTTGGATTTTATTACTTATTTCATGAGAAACTCGATAGAAATGCAGGTTTTGTTTGATTGTTTTTAATTACGCAACTCGAAAACTTTCATGGCGTCAAGGATTTTTTATTTCGGTTTCATTTCAATCGAATGGAGGCTTTTGACAATTTGATTTGAACATACTGTCGATTAAATGGTATAAACCTGAAAGACTCTTTAAGGACCTTCTTTTCATCTTCTAAGCTGCTTTTGATGCAGCGAACCATTCAATTGGTTTTTTTCTAAGTACTAATGGAATATGCCTTTTGCCTTAGATGATTTTTTGAGCTCTTAACCAGATTGAAGAAGCTGAATGAACCATAAAATAGAGGCACGAACTGTTCGCTTAATGGGAAAAGTACATGAAGGGCAAGTCGCTAGGGTAAATATGCCTAAAAAGTTCCCAGCTTAATGAGTGTTTGAAAGTCAAACATTAAGTATTTATAACTGCATCGATGGGTATCCTGAATTTAAAAAGACGAAGTTGATAAAATACTGGTCGAACCAGACAAAAAACTTGAATATTCTGCCTGATATTTAACGTGTCTGGAGTACAGTGCTGATTTAATTAACCCGGAAAAAAAACGAGCAAAACTTGATATTTAAACCGCGCTTCAAAATTTTGTTTCTGGCTATTGCAAAATTAATTGCCTTATATATCTACCCTGAGTATAAGTGAAATAAGGAAGTTATACAAAAAAGTGTTTTGAAAATACACTGTTGAGCAATAATACATATTTTGCGTCTTAGGTTGCCTTTGCGGACCAAATAGTTCTCTCAATTTAATTTGGAATGGTTTTTGGGCTGGATTTTTTTTGCTGATTACGCCATGTACAAATTGGCCTCCCAGATGGAATTTTAACAGATGGAATTTTGTTAAACCCCCATACTTTTACAACAAAGGTAGCATTTTTCAAAAATTGTGACAAGAACAAAAAT